GTGATCATTGTGAGCCACCCTTGAAAACACACTAACGCTAACTATCTCTTGAAACGTGAGGGATAGACTCGTAAATATATGAAAAGATGGTGACAGAGTAGGTGCTTTGCTGTGCAATGCAATAATCTGTGGATATATGAGAGTATTTGATAAACAGAAATGAAAACAATTAAAATGTCTGTAGGCTCTAACTATATTGTGTGGTGTAATTATTGTGAAATATCCTCTTGCTTGTCACACACGCACAGATTATATTGGTAAACCTCTTAAAATTCTATTACTGGAGCAGGCGGGTAGATGCAAAGCAGGTTTTGCACAAACACCAACTGTACCTACAATTAAAGCGCTGATGAGCCATTCAGCAACTTTCTAAATGCTAATTACAGAACTTGCAAAGGAGTTGTTTCATATTTCATGGTGTTAGGTAATGCATTAGTTATGCAACATAATTTATTTGTATTGTGATTTTGACTGCAACTGTGTGCTGTTTTCCATACCATATGGATGCAACTTAATATATCTGGGAGTTGGGGGCTATAGTTATGGATTAAAGGCATACTTAAGAACAGAAGTCAGAAGCTCACAGTATTCCTCAGCCAGACACTAAGATAAAGAAAACAACTAATAGAAGGAAAGGGGAAGGGATTGGAAGGTTTAAAAGTTAAACAAGGTTAAGTAACAAGCAAATACCTGGGCACATGTAGCCAGAGGTACTTCATGGATTTATACAGCTGGGAAAATAGTTATTTACTGATCATAGGGTTGAGGTGTTTATTATGGGGATTTAGATGTGTGCGATCCCTCTGCCTTAAGGAGTTGAAACACCTAAAAAGTTTATGTTTATAAGGAGCCGATTCATTTCTGTGGATCCCTGATAGAGTCCCTGCCTGAATCGGTCTCGCTGTTGTCACATCAGACCACATAACTGCAGTACTGGAGTATTTATGGTATACAGTCTTTTAGGAGTATTGCCTGTAGCTCCATTTTCAAATGGACTGGAAGCAGATTTGTAGCTATTATGATTTCCTATGTATGTTTTAATATTTTACTACATTAAGCAAAGATATGGTCATTTTGATTAGCATCTGAACAGAAAAACCCAAAACAAACACATTCTCTGTAGATGTGTGGTTTGGCCGACAGCCACGCTGCTATAGTCTGAAGATAAAATAATTTTTGTGGAAGTGGTTCAAGATCAAAGATCGGGGTTTTTCCTAGGGAGAATGTTACTAATGGGTATTATTTGAAAAGGAGAAATAAAAGGGATTTAAAAAATGATAACTTTATTTTTCTTCTAGGTTTAGATCTAATCCCTACTCTCTGCTTCAAAACATGCTTCAAAACATAATTCTACAAAGCAGAAGTTAAAAGGTTTTTTCACTTGACAGCAGCATTTTGCTGACATTATGGAGTTATTATCTGTACTGGGATGTAGATCTGGTTCAGTAATTGCAGTCTATTTCGAATACAGCATCAGCTGAATGCATAATTTTTAACTGTCTCTTAGCAAACTAAATATCCCAGCCAAACTCATTTTCAGCCAAGTTAACTTCCTAAGGAAATCTTATCTAAGAGAGATATTTTTGTCTGTGGAGGAGGCCTCAGGGCTACATAGCCTCATTATTTAGTTTGGCTTCCTGACGACATTTCCTCTTTTATCCTTAACAACACTATGGTGGATCTTGGCTTTGGACTGGAGCATAAAATATCCACCCATTTAAACAAACTGTTAACACACAGATGGGCTATCTTAGTGAGGCAGATGTGGGCTGTATAACACTGTTGGCTTCAATATGTTAAGAATTCTGTCATTCATATTTGGATCACTTATTACTTCGTGTTTTCACAAGTTCATTCAGGCATAAGTTTGACAGCAGAACAAGCAGCTATAGCATGGGTGGCATATTTACAATGCACATGCAACTGACAGTAGATCAAGTGACATATAATTTATGGGTATTGTTCAGGCTTAAGTTAGAGTGAACCATACTCACATTTCACAACTATAGACTCTATGAATATTCTACATATAGTCTATGTGTAAAAAACATGACTGTCTCTCGTCTCAAAGTTGTACAGGCTACGAATGCATATAGCATACAGAGCCAACAGGTCTGTAGATGACGCCATCAACATGGCTCTAGACTTCATCCTGCAGCATCTGGACTCCCCAGGAACCTACGCCAGGATCCTGTTTGTGGACTTCAGCTCTGCCTTCAACACCATCCTTCCAGACCATCTCCGAGACAAGCTTTCCCAGATGAATGTGCCTGATCCCATCTGCCGGTGG